TCATAGGCATGCATCCAGCTGTTCTTTACTTTTTGAGAACTGAATCTCTGCATAATAAATCGAATCTAATGCGGTCTGCACAAACAATTCTTGCCCTCGGATACGCCACGCACGCGCCTGTGGCTAGTAGTCCTAAAAATTGCGACCCCCTTCCGGCCAAAATGCGACCCCTTCGTTCGAACAGTTCGAACGGACGGTTGACCCTGCTCCCCACCCACCGCATCAAAGAAATCAGCGTGCCCTTCCGGACGTCGTGATCTTTCGCGTGTTTTGTCTTCTTTGATCGTCGGCCCTGTCTCGCCATCGTACCTCACATCATCCGACCTTTTGAAGGTTAAGGCCTTCAATTTCAGCGTTCTCAAAGATTTCTCTAGCTTTCCTTTCCACTTTCAGGCCATCCCGCAGCTCATTCATCACTACGAAGCGCTCTTATCACCAGTGTTATCCCGCGGATCGCCTTCAAGTACCACTCAAACTACGGAGAGAACAAAAGTGCTACTTACAAAACTACTAGAGCCGCAAAAAAAGTTTATCGCTTTGAGCATCAGAGGGTAATGCTGGAATACTGCTTAGCTACAAGAGTGATGATAAAACAAGGTGATCTGGAATTACTGAAATCGCTCGCGGAAGTTTTTCGACCTCTCGTTTCCTACTTGACAAGGTCTTTCGACACATGAATTCCAGAATAACCGTATAGTACGGTGAAAAGCGGCACAATGGAAATTTAGAGATAATCCTTTTGATCGAGATGAATGTCGAAAGCCATGAATGCCTGGTTGAGGTAATTTCAAGAGATTTCGCGACAGCTCCTGTGAAACATGGAAGCGGGATGAAGAGATGGCAGCAACGAATGGAGGAAGGAGAGGAGAATAAAAAGTATGCATGCAGAGATGAAAAGTGGACGACTACCGAAAGTAGGGAGTAGAGGGTGTAAAAACCACAAATGGCCGTATGCGAAGGAGGTAGAACGCCTCATCTAGTCCGATCCAAACGCTGATCATTATAAAAGCAAGAAAGAGAGAGGAAAAGGAAAGAGGACCGCATTAGATTTTAGCAAGCGCAGAAATAAAAATTTGATATAAAGAAAAGCATTTCAAGGAGGTAAGGACCGGTAAAGATGTCCGCAATACAACATTTGGGCCGACTACCACATTTCTAGTATTGTTGTGTACACCATATAATTCAATAGCTCCGCGATAAACTCACTCCGTATACAACTAGCGAAAGCGCGCTGGCCTCGTTCAAGTCTCCCGTTACTTCATTAATTGTATCAATTTTCGATAGTGGGTAGGCGGTGGACGCAGAGCCTCCGTACGCCCACACAGAATCGCCCTCGAGTTCCAAAATCTCCATGAACATCTGAAATTGCACTATCACGAATGTTGACATCAAATTCGAGTTTTGGTTATTAGAATAAAGAGCTTGACCTGCTTTTTGGCTAGTTTCGCGGCCAACGTCAGCGGAGTGAGGTTCTGCTTGTTTGCAATATTGAGTCGAGCACCAGATTCCATTGCCAGGCGAAACATTTCCTGGTAAAACATACACTTCCTGAGGTACCCCATATTTTAGCATTTATGATTAGGTAGCGATTTCATTCAGCACCGGACTAACAGCTGCTAACGAGTGATGTATGAATGAAAATATCAAGCATCATACCATGTTTTCATGTATTACACACATGTGTAGAACGGTGTTGCCATTGGTGTCTTGAGCGTTCGGATTTGCCTTGTACGCAATGAGGAGTCGGTAACAGTCCTGATGGTTCATGCAGGCAGCAAAGGACAGCGGATATTCTCCAAAATACATGTGGCTAAATAGAACAAAAGGTAAACTCATGTACCAGAGATTCAGCATTCGACCTAAAGATTGATCACGGTTGAAATTTCTCACACCAACATCTGTAAGTGTCCCACATGGACTAATAATGGCTTGAGCAGCATTTGGATCAGGGTCGAACGCCCTTCCGCCATTTCAGACAACGGCTATTGTCATTTGAGATTTTAGGAGGGATGATGTTTTTTTTTGGGGCAATCGTGCTATTGAAAGAGCTGAAGCAGAAGATTGCGTTCCAGGAAACTTACAGACATATTATTTAGCTTTGCCACTTTGCTAAAAAAAAAGTAAAAGTAATCTCCTCCACCCCTCCCCTTCCCGCCCTTCTTTCCCACTTGACGTACTTCGCTCTTTTTTTGAGATTCAGGGGCAGGGTTGAGAAGCGTGTGGTTGAAATATTGAACCAGATTCAGCAACGCCACAGACCAGAGATGGTGTGGGTGCAAATGATGACACTTCCCACATTCGGCCACAGTCCTGAATGAGAGTAGAACGTGTGCTTGCGCGTCTCAAGAGTTTAATCAGCGCCACTTTGACTTCGACTTCAACTTTGTAGCTTCTCCTTTATACACCTTTTAACCATCCCATCAAAGGGGTGAGGGAACGGAGCGCGGAAAAAAAATCCGGGGGACACAACCTCCTTGAAAGCATACACTCTCCATTGTTCAGGTCGACATGGAATGTGCATGACGCCCGCTTCCACTGAACTACAAGAGTTACCTCTCATACCGGAAAGAGCTTCGGATATGAGGCGCACCCAGGGTCAACCGTCCGTTGGACAAAGTCCAACGCGACGACGAGAGTAATGCCGAGAGTGAACGTACGCACGGAGACACAGACGGCTCGCGGGTGGCGAGAGTGAATGCCGGCGCGGAGAGCGGTGAACATCGGTCCAACGTCGCTCCAATATCGGTCCAACGTAACGGTTGACCCTGGGCCACCCCCCCCACCTTGGAAAGGTCATGGATCTTTCAAATGCGCATTTTCGATTAGCTGCAAATATAATAGATTCCCCAAAAGATTTGTAAAGTTCACTTTTTTTGAGAATTCCCTCGTTCGCACTTTTTTTCATGCGAGTACAGGTTTTTGAGCTTTCATTTACCATAAAGTTCCTGTTTTCATTTCTTCGCAAACTTTTGCCATGTAGGAGAGCAAAAGATTTGCTTCTTTCTAGCGCTTACACGCTTCTCAAAGTCCACTTCGTGAAAAAAACAGATGTTTGCACTTCTTGAGAGGTTTCAGCAATTACAAGTTCCTTCAAAAAGCTTGTTGTGGAGAATTGAAGGAATTTTCGACAACTACAGGATAGCTCTTTTCTAACGTACTCCAAACATCTTTGGAAGGAGCTCCATTAATTTCACAGAAAATTACGTGTTCTTCGTTCGGTCCAAATACACCTAGATTCGCCCTCTTCAACCCTCCATCCTGACCAATGATGCTGCCTCCGCGATTTCGACTGCGAGTCTTCGGGATTACGACCCTCCCCATCCTTTACCGGAATGCGACCCTCCTCTCGAATAGTGTGAACAGACGATTGACCATGGTAATGTTTCCCTGGTTGTGGAGAATTGAAGGAATTTTCGACAACTACAGGATAGCTCTTTTCTAACGTACCTCCAAACATCTTTGGAAGGAGCTCCATTAATTTCACAGAAAATTACGTGTTCTTCGTTCGGTCCAAATACACCTAGATTCGCCCTCTTCAACCCTCCATCCTGACCAATGATGCTGCCTCCGCGATTTCGACTGCGAGTCTTCGGGATTACGACCCTCCCCATCCTTTACCGGAATGCGACCCTCCTCTCGAATAGTGTGAACAGACGATTGACCATGGTAATGTTTCCCTGCCATCGCTCCCGATAACGACAACGCTTTCACAGGCCTGCGTGGATTTTGTGTTCACTTCTAGGCAACTCACCCAGTATAATTTGTTTTTGGCGACAGTTCCACGTATTCATGCTCCAATGAATCTGTACGTCCAGCCTTCTGATCCTCCGCGCAAAAGAATGCACCATAGCAGCGTATATTAACATCGGCACCTTTCTTGAGCAGCACGTACACCATGTGGCAATCTTGGTTGATTACGGCTTGATGGAGAGGAGAGAGACCTTAATGTGAAAATACTTTTGAAGACCGTACATAAAAGTGGTTTATATTTCAAAGAAGTTTTGCAATAATAAGCAAACAATACTTTACGGTGGCATGGCAGGAGCACCTCGTCACCATCGTGAACGTACATAGATAATCAAGCGCTCACATTAGAAGCATGAAAAAGCCTCCAAACCGGCTCCTTCGATCAGTCTAGATTACAGTGCGTGTCTAGTCATTTGTTTTGTGTGGCGTCTAGAAGCTGACGCCTCCTACTAGGGGCAAATTTCAGGCCTGTTGAGTGGCTATTGGACCCCAGTTCCGTGTATAACATTTTGATAGCACTTGCTATTACGGACCAGCACGTGTCTCTAATCAAGACTGCTCACTATTCTGTTCGCTACGTCTTTCCCTAACGGATAGTTCACGTACCGTAAAAATCTTCAGAAATATTGATGTCATTGATCAACTTCGGGAAGGCTTCGATGATTTTCATAGCCAACTTGTTATGAACATCAGTTCCTTGAAGTAAACAGATACCAATAATTGTTTCACCCATAGCACCTGAAATGACTTGATGAAGAATCACCCCTACTGATCTGAAAACAAACCTCTTTCTTCGAGTTTCCAAGCGATTTCTCGATACTTTGATTCGCCTCTTCCTCCCTTTCCTCCTCCGTCAAGCAACTTCAGCGCTAAAAACTAAAGGTTAATTCTTGGATCCAGCGGAAGGCAATGGAGGTTGTAATGTTGACACATCCGAGAAAACGTCAAATTCGTTGCAGGACTTCCGTAATTTTTATGTCGCACAAGGTCGTTGGGGAGGCGTAGAGTACAAACCCTAGCTTTTACACGTCTAGTGAGCTTGTACGGAGGGGGGAGTACAAATTAAAACACAGGACTTCCGCTCTGGTACGGATGTCTTTGAAGAATCCGTAGTCATGGCTCGATCTTCCATCCCTCTCCGACCCATTGACATTGGCTCTCTATACATGACGGTGCACAATTCATAAAAACCTCTTGAAAAAAATCAAAACTTTTATTGTTTCTGCTGTTGATTTATTTTCTGGGAAGGTAAGCAAACAATATTGATGCAATAAGCAATCAAAATAGAGTGTCTTCAGAAATTTTTGGAGGGGACATCGATTTTTTGCCGTTGCATTATTTGAACGGCTTGACGTGTTCAGATATTCCGAATATAAACATTCCTTCTTTCCTGTTTTTTGAAATTCGCATATACTTACGTGCCATGCGGAAGTATATGCGGCTCACAAAAGAATGCCCTGTTCAAACTGACGGATCTCAGTATTCCTAAGGGACCAGTTGCAAAAGTCATCAAGAATCATTTTCAACAAACCATACTACAAAGATTGCCTGGGAACTGGCTGCAAACTGCGGGGTTCCGATTTCAGAATGGACCGTGGCTCACATATCGAAGATATCGGAGTACGCTATCCGGCAAGGAATAAAGCCGGCAGTACGCCTAACTCAGTATCATCGGCATAAGCGGCTCTTGGGAGAAATGAGATTAACAGAGGAGCAGCGGGGTGTTCTGGGCACATTTTCGGCTTTCATGTTAAATTCGAAATTTTACATCTTTATTTCTCCATCAGACATTTCTTTCGATGACATGATGTTCAATGGAGATGGGTCGGGTGAAGGGCACTAGTACTGGCGCGTTTCATGAAGAGAACCACTACTGCTCTCTGCAGCATCGGCGACTCCTCCCCACTACATAGTTGGGGGGAGGCACTTTGTAGGAATGAAACGCTTGAGGAGCCAGGACTATCGGTCACTCCTCAAAGACACGTTGATCCCATTCGCTTCAAAAAACATTAACACATTAAGGACAACGCGGGGGATATATATCCCGCGCATTGCAGGCCATGTCGGACCGTGCGGGATATATATCCCCCGCACCCATTACACTCATTTTTTTCGCGCACGCCTGATTCTTTTAGAAGTTTCTTGTATTCATTCCATGGAAGAGACCTTGACGTAGCTACAAACATAGTGGCCCATAGAATGGTCACGTATGCTTTAATTTAGAGGAGGATTTCTGAACCATACGAAATCTTCAGTTTAATAAATTTTTCGTTTACTTTTTCTTTTTATGAATGTGAAGATTTAAATAGTAGTAGAAGTAGATACGGAACCTTAGGGATGACAATATGTGTGTTTTGATTGAAATAATCAACGTAAAATTGCTTTTGAGGTCCATTGCAGCTAGTTCTGAAAAATTTCGCTTTTTCATTGTTATTCCATGTCTTTCGATCGAAATTCCACTACTGTACCCCTGGGTAGGTTGTGCTCATTACAATTTACTGATCTGGTTTTGTATTGATCATTATTTATGTATTTATCACTCAAAATCTGCTTGAACGACCTGAGGCGGCCGCGCCCGCAAAATCGCCCCGGTCCCACGTGGCCAAAAAGCCAAAACTCGCGTTGTCGTCAACGTGTTAACAGGCGCTTCGTCTTCGTGCAAGAAAACGCTTTGATCCACACTTGTCAAGGGCTCTATTCCGCTTGCAATCTAATAACATCCCATTATTGTAATGGCCGATCCCAACGCTATCGGGAATGTGTGGGGTATATTAACGCCTAAGATCTACGCAAATGGGAAAGCGTATGACAATGTTCAGCCGCTGAGAAATACCATCACAAAGGAGTGGAAAACTCTACCGCCGCTGTTGAGAGAGCTCTGATTCAATACCTGATTTCAGTTTCAAGGTTAGTGAGACGAAGGGAAGTACTTATTACTTAATGGCAGGAGTAGAATTTATTTAATTTAGGTGTTGTTTTTTGATCCACCATACATATCGTCCAATATCGTCCAATCTACAATATTATGCAGCTGACCGGCTCAAAAAGGGTGAAATTGTTGCTCAAACTTCGAAAAGTTGTAATGTCGAATAGGCAACACAAATCTTAGTCATTTTTCTATTTGTAAGCAAGCTACAAAGAGGCTGTAGGTTAAAGCTACAAAAATTTTGGCCTCTGTCAAAAATTCTACGGGGTGCAATTTATATGCACCGCAGTGAATGAGAGCCAATCAAATTCTTTTGCTAGAACATCTCTTCTACCATGACATGAGCATGACTGATGCACAATTTGAATCTTAACTTAGTGAAATCTAGCCTTTACGGGACGTTCAGGCTGCTTCATGGGGATGAGATTGACGTGCCTTTTTTCAGATCTCCTACGTTTTCGCCTTCCTGTTTGAATTCGTCCAGCACATTCGGGCCACTTTTGCCTTTTCCCTTCTTTCGTGAGAATGCACTGAGTCGTTCATTCCTTTCCTGAAGTACACATCACTGAGTACACAACACCCTTGCTTATTCTCAAGAGCATTGAAATGCAAGATATTCCTGGCTCTTCGCATAGAGAAGAAGTAAATTAGAGGTGCATACCTTGTTCCGTATTTTCACGAGTTCCGTTACCGTTACCAGTTTGCCCTTTCCTTGGTTATACATCGATTCACGGACTTTTGTTTCCATATAGCCATCGATCAACGAATAATCGCCACTGCTTCGTGCATATCGAAAACATTAAACCCATTACAACTAGGTAATGAAAGTTTGTGACAAGCATTAGATTGAAGCAGGTGTTACAACGAGTATTTTCTCAAATATTCTATACACTGCTTTTGCTCGTTTGGCGCGCGTGAAAAAAAAATTTAAAATGGGTATTGATTTCCTACGCGTGGAAAGTAACCCGCCCATTCTGAGCGTTCCTAGGCATCAATTTTCCGCGCACCTTGAAAGCATCAAAACGCGCTCTTCCTTGAGATGATTGAAAAAATTCAGAAGTTATGAGGAGAAAAGTGCTCACCTGAACCACGGTAATAGCTCACCGCCGCCATGCATATCAACCAACTTGTACAGCTTCATGTCTTCCCGAAGCCGACCCATACTGAGGGCATTCTCTTTCTCTTTTGAATGGGATGTACCCATAATTGACGCCTAAGCTCTGTGCTGATCGATGAAAGGTCCTGAAACAAGCAGTTTCAAGCCCGGCCGCGGCATATCACTGTTTGTAGAGCTGGACGAATCAAAGCTCTAGAAGCAGTACAATATAAGAGTTCCTCTCATGTGGCATAAGTGGGGCAGTTCATTGGGTCTAAGATGCTATAGTTATCAGCAAGCGGTTAGCATTTACAGCTCGAATTTGTCGATTTCGAAGGAGATCCTATTTGTTTTGAAATCGCACTTTCGAGTGCTAAATCGTTCATTTTATGCGGAAGAGGAGCTTTGAAAATACGATATTAGATACGATACGTGCGAAATAAAAGGTCTCCCTCAACACAACTATGACAGTTCGAAAGGATAGAAATGGTAAATGGGCGACAAGCACACAACTTCCCTTTAACATGGTGGAAACTAAGTATTATTCATCTCGTTGTCCTTTATCATATGTGCATGTACTTCAGCACTAAATATGTATTCTTTGACACACAGTATTGTGAGGGTTGGAAGGCCCGAGTTGGGGCGGGCGCTCCAGAAATTTATGGAAACTTGACTCAACCTTTGAAATAATTTCTCGTCATAGTTTTGATGTACATCCGAGGCTGTTTGATTTAATATGCGAACTAACAACGGGATTCAATGAGGAGGCGGGAGCATTTGATGCTACAGTTCAAACGGCTTACAGTATTTTTTGCAGGAGGAGGAAGCTTTGGGGTGGGTGTCAGAGCGAAATAGTTTCTGGACCCCCGGATTTCTTCCTCTACAAAAATTGGAATTATTGTAGGCGACACGACCTGTTGTACTTCAGGTCCCCCATCCCCAGGATCCAAAACGGAATAGACCCTTCAAAACTGCTTTTCAAGTAATCGTGTGTACAGTTGGGTAGTTGCAGAGATACGCATAGGGAAAGCTCGTAAATTTCATAGGCGAACAAGCTGAAAAGAAAGCTTGAAGAAGTGTGGGGAGTGTCCAGGTGTCGTTCATCTGGCGTAATTTGACCGCAGATTTTAAACGTGGACTGTTGTAAGTTTAACTGGATACGGTACCCTTCACTGCAATACCGCACTCACGACGCCGCAACATAAAGGCACAGTCTGAGATCAGACACGTTCACCTGTCCATCCCCGAGCGTCGCAGACAGACGGACAACCGTTGATGTTGCGACGTTTTGCGGTTTGTAAGTTCGCAACGAAGACGCTAGAAGCTCGTTCGACCCACACGCCAGGCCTTCCGCCTTCAGCTGTCATTGACGCAGTCGCGACCAGGGTGAATATCGGTCGAGGAAATCCTCGACAGGGGGGTCGTACCTGTCGGGCTGGGTCATGGGGGGTCGTACTCTTGGGGGTCAGTAACAGCAGTGGTATCGTGGTGCAGATAGGTAAGAGGGTATAGCGCAGCAGAAAATGAAAATATCTGAAAAAACATGATATTAAATTTTCTTTGCAGGTTCAGTCGCTCCATTCCTCCACCTTCATGAGAAGGGCGTATTTGAAGGCAGTACAAAGAATGAAAGTGCATCCCCGCAAAGAAGACTGCCACATGTGCGCACGCGCTGCAAAGGCACCTCCTCTGCCTATCGCTCGCTCCTTCTCCCTTAATACCTCGCTGAGAATGACACTGTTGTTAGGGACCCTGTCGCAAAAACGACAACCGTGAAGGAAAAGCCCTGGGCAAATGAAGTTGTTCTTCAGGTTGTAGGAGTTACGAAATGCGTTTACTACAATGCAGCTTCTGTCAACTGGTCATGATATGACACCTTCGAATCGATTCTGCAACTTCGAGTGAGGTCGGATGCATGGCCTATACTCAGACAAAATTCGATGATGACGATTGCCCCTTTTCCTATTGCTTATGTTGGGAGGATGTTTTCTAGACCCATTTCAAGCGTTGCCAACAATTACACTTGCAATGGTGAAGAAGGGAGCGGATTTTCAGGTGGCCGGATCCGTCCTCGATACATACTCGACGCAGATATCTTCTCAACTAGGAAATGTAGAAGAAAGCTAAGAAGACCATCAGAAAGCGCAAACCTTCCGCTTTCCAAAACTATCTTCCCTTTTTCAGGATCTTACGTTTTAAGAGAGATATTGCTCTTGAAGTGGCAAAAACTCGCGTGAAAATTTCGACGTTTACTCGACGAAATTTGAGAGACCCTATCTTTCTGCATGGAAGGCTTTCAGAGCAATTTCAATACTTCTTGGAAACGCGAAATCCAGCTCTATCTAACCCTACCTCAAACTGCTTCAAAGGTTATGAAATGGAGGAATGCAACCTTTTCATCGAGGGTGTAGATTTCGACGGTTTTTTTTTCGGGATTTCAGCAAATCTGACCCAGTGACAATCGCGCCGCAGCTGCCGTTGAATCGGCCTTTGATACACTCGGCTGTTTTGATATACTCAAGCAGGAATCAAGATTGAATCGCAACCCCGTGCCTTCAGGATTTCTGTGCATTTCTGAACGAACCTGACTTTGAGGTCACACAAAGTTAATGCCTCTTTCCTCGAGTCGATATTTCAGTAAATACACAAAAGTGTGCAGCGATGAAAGACAGTGCATAGATGACAAGATGAGGCGTCCATAACATTATTTTGCAGAATTTTTTTGATTTATTTTGCAGGATTTTTTTGATTAATTAATTGAATTAATTTGCTCTGTTTTAGGGGGTCGTGCCAGGATCTCGATTTCGGGGGGGGGGTCGTACTTCTGCGACCACGTACTCGACACGATTTTCACCCTGGTCGCGACAGCGGTTACATTGCGGTTCAATGGAGATAAGCCGTTCAGGGAGGGTGAGCACCCGTAATCAGCGTGAATTATGATGTTTCATATGTGGTCAGTACAATGCGACGTATTGACGCGCTCTATGCGGTAACAGATTTTATGGGTTGTGCAAATAATGAGGTTACCCCAGCTCTCCAGGGCAGCGATCCAAAAATGGAAAAGCGTCGCAGCGTCCTCAACGCTGCACGCGCTTCGCGCGTCGGCAAGGGAAGGTAATCCCCAGGCAGGGTCAACCGTCACGTTCGAACATTTTCGGGATTTTTGCGACCCCCTAGCTCTCGAGGGGGTCCAGTTGCGACCCCCTGTTTTTGTTAATAAGAGTGCTAGACATGAATCCGTTGCGCCAGAAAGCGTCTGCGTTGCGGCGTCAGCCTTGGAGCGCGGCAGGTATCACCCGGGCGCTGGAAGAACGGGACGCGGCGAAGAAAAAATTTTAGAGGGGAATAACTTTCTTGGGACGTACTTTTTTGACTTGTTGAGGTAGATTTTGACTGTGCCTGAGGTGCGCTTTCAGAAAACTACAAGGATTGCCTAACTCTCCGGAAAGTACTTCTGTTAGAAGTGGAAAACCCAAAATTCTAAGAAGGCGCACCTTCAACTTTGAAGGCCCATAATATCTTTCGTATGCGACATTTTGGAAAGCTGTAAAAAGTTTCAGAAACTTCAAATGTTTCTCTCTCAAAAAAAGTAAAGTTTAAAAGAGAGTGAGAGTAAGTGTAAAAGAGTGTAAGAGTAAATCAGTATAAAAAGTTCAGTGATTGACCCCTTCTTCATAAAATTGCAAAAGCGAGTTTTTGGGCTTTCAGCACCATAACTCACTTCATTTTCATTTCTGTGATGCACTTTTTTCATGGGGTGAAAGTACAGGATTTGCTCTTTCTAACAAGCCCAAACCGTTTTTCAAAGTTCATTTTTCGAGAAAATCACACGTTCGAACATTTTGGGGGGTTTTGCCGAACACTTTTTTTGAAATCGCGAGTTTTTGGGCTTTAAGCGGCATAACTCACTTCATTTTCATTTCTGTGATGCACTTTTTTCATGGGGTGAAAGTACAGGATTTGCTCTTTCTAACAAGCACCAAACCGTTTTTCAAAGTTCATTTTTCGAGAAAATCACACGTTCGAACATTTTTTCCCATGGGTTTTTGAGCAGCACATGCGAGTTTTTGAGCTTTCAGCAATAATAACTTCCTTCAAAGAGCTTGTTGGAGAGGGATAAAGACATTTTTGAAGACTACGAGATTTCCGCTTCTTATGTGTTTACAGTTGTCTGGAAGAAGCGTCCCCAAAAAAGGTCTCCGAAGAACTTTGTTTTCAGCCCCGAGAAGTCAAACCTTTCATAGGGATGCATTCAACTGTTCTTTATTCCTCAAGAAAACACCGTAATTTGCCTAAAACTGTCTCTCTGTGCATAATAAATCGAATCTAATGCGGTCTGCACAAACAATTCTTGCCCTCGGATACGCCACGCACGCGCCTGTGGCTGGCAGTCCTCGAAATTGCGACCCCCTTCCGACCAAAATGCGACCCCTTCGTTCGAACAGTTCGAACGGACGGTTGACCCTAGGTGCCGCCCATTCCGCGCGAGGCCAGTTCGACTTGCGAGCCATCCTCCACCTCCTACATTAACGGCGCTTAGTACAGCTGGCGAGTGCTCGGCGCTACTCGTTGGGAGAGCGGAGAGAAAACGAGAAGTGGGAGACAAGACGCAGACTTAGAGCGTCAATGCGTCGCGCATTGTACGTCACTTAGGCTGGAACATCATTATGACTTGACTGAATTGACTTCGTGTGCTCACACCGTCCAAACGGCGGCTCAATATCACTGGCACTGCACTAACTGGAGCGGAGTTCTTGAAACTCGTCCAAGACGCCCCTTTCCTATCCCAAGTAGAATGCGGGTGAAACAGAGGTAAATGGAGGAGGATCTTTTATTTGTTTCATTTCCAAGCACTCCCAATTCTAGATGCATCACTGGATGCTCTAAAATAACGATTTTGTACTGGAGGTTGCCTTCAAGCCTCCTGCAGAATACCACACAGTAAACACAGTTGAACTTGAACGAAGTTTTCCACTTGAGAGTAGAGAAGTATAACTGTATGTATACCCTAAAATCCCATAGATAAGAGCGGTCCATAGATATTTTTTAAAAATAAAAATATTTTTTCAAAATCATTTTTTACCGGTAAATTAAACCGCTCTTATCTA